CGTCCATAACTGTTTACATAGATTATGCCTCCGGCCTCCGGATGCCGGCTGCCGTCGCTATCGGCGCCGCAAATTGACAAGACATGGCAAGAGCGAGCGTTCGAGTTGCATCTACTGTAGTTAGGAAAGAGCTGCTCTTCTACTATCTACCTTTAAAGCCTATCTACATAAAGTGCATACCGAAGGGGGGTTTTGTTCTTTTATGTACGTTGGGTAGAAGTGCGAATTGAATTTCAGTCGTTGTGAAAATTATGACAATCGTCAACCGGCCTTTCGCATAGCATGCGATACCACGCAGAGAACGAAAAAGAAACCTGCGAAAAAAAGAAAAAAGATACATGTCCAGCTATAGACACGAAGGAAGCCTCTATATCTTGCATCATATAAATAAATCATCACGCGCGGGACTGGCGACGATGATCCAATATGCGGACCCCTACCCGACTAACAAAAGTGCGTGCTTCATTCATTCGCCGTACGGCAAAGCTTGCTGCGCCGCAATCCCGGAGGATGATGGGCTACCTAGGGAAACGTATAAAAGATAAGAGAATTTCAATCGTCCAGTCGTCTCTAATCGTGTTCCTCGTTCACGATAGAACGACGACGCTCTGCGACTGCGCTCCAAGAGGCATAGACAATTCAATTGTCAATTGAGCGCCGTTAGACCGCCATCATTGTCCTTATCACGACAAACACCATTATCCTAACTTGTCTCGTTCAAATAAAGGGGACCATAATATTTTCTTTTTCTCTTTCACACAGACAGGCAAGATACGATGACAGCTCGTGCCATGGCTTCAGGCGGTGAAAAGAGCCACTTCGCGCCCGGCGAGGCGTCAAGCCCACGGCGACCACTGAAACTATCCGAGAGGATAGCCGGCGGACTGCAATTCGGAGCAACAGACGCGCATCTCAGGGCTTATACGACAATGCTCGTCAGACAAGGCCTGCCGTATATCAGCGAGTTCCAATGGGGGCTTCTGCTGTGCGCCTCCTTCTTCGGTCTGCTAAGGCGGCGGCAGTACTTGGCCGCGACCCTGGGGCGCGTCAACGAGCCGCCGGTCGGCGTGCCCCCTTACGCCGTCGCCTGGGTACTGCGGCTAGCGACGGTTCTCCTCGTTTTTTCCCTTAGGGGCGTGCGGCGCGCTTCCAGACGTCTGGAGGCATGGCCGCGGGGCACGGGACGCCTGTCGGGATGCGCCCGGCGGGCCCTACTATGCGGCCTCCTTACGATCGAGTGTCTAGTCCGGATCCTCGCTGTCGTTTCTCTGGCGGGCGAGGTGTACTTCTGGGCGCTGACGCCGGCCTACCAGCGGCACGCGGCGACGCTCGACGTGCGGTCTATACTCGATCCCGAGGCCCCGCGGTGGCTGGTTATTTTCAGCACTCTGCTGTTCTGGCTGAATATGGTCTCGTTCACCTACAGCGTCGTGGTCATCGTTATCACGGCATTGTATCTCTACGTATGGGTCTCAGCTTTGGTATCAGGTAGTCGAAACGATGATGTAGAGAGGACCTTGGAAGAAGGACGATTAGACGGAGATGTTGAGAAGATTGGGATAAATAACCTTTACCTAGAAATTGTCGAGGGAGGTCTCGAAGAGAACATAGACGTACTGTCTGATTCAGCTTAGCGAGCAGTCATCTTTTAGCTTCAAAATGGTCCTTAATGAGCATTATGGCCAACGGCGCAGATCAAGAATAGCTATGTCATACATGTTGCCTTCGCGGATATAAAACACCCATATTCCAACCCAATATTCTGCATGGATGCCCCGATAAAGTCCGGAGGTAATTATCTATGCATGAAACCAGTCAAATCACATCGCAATGTCACCTAATTCCTTAATGCTATTGAAGCCATTGAAGCCCACACCACCAGCACTCCACTGACTGAGAAACTTCGACATGTCTTGGAGTTAAGGAGTATCCTGCCTATCCTAGCACATTATGATGAGGCTTCATTCTTTCTAACGTATGCTCTGCTCTCGCCCTGTTCCTACTAGAAGCCCCCGATTGTGCACACCGATAATAGTAAGAGATGATCTTAGATGTATTTAATCCTGTGCTGAGGATGTCATGTCCGAAGGTTAAAGGAAAAAGAATGAAAAAAAAAAAAAAAAGATCAAGGAGAAGAGAAAGAAATTCTATTGCTATTAGCTAGGCTAGGACCGCGGAGGATGTCGTCTCAGTGTATGCACAGATGACAAGAGCGACCACGAGATAATCCCTCACTTATTAAGCTCATAATGCCTCGTCTGTGTCCATACTGCTGAGCGCTGTCCAATACAGACAGGATACACATAGATGAAATAGTAGTAGAAAGGGTGGATGATGATCATGCCTTGCACGATGTCAGCCACGAGCCCCCTCTCTCAGGTGGTCAGGCGGCCATAGTGGCCTCACACAACGTGATGTTGATTGAGGTTGCTCAACAGCTGCTCTTTTGACCATTTATCGAAACTTCTATATAAGCTGAGAGCTATCGGGTTATGAAAGTTGATATAAAGTAATCACCGCACATAAGGTGGTAAGCAGCCCTTTAATCTGAAGGTTACGTGAGACTAAACGGAAGTAATCTTTATACCATAGAGGTGGTCATACGTACGTACATACGTATGATAATATAGTTGTTCCATCCGATATTATATGGTATAATGATGATTACCGACCTAGGTAAAGACGAGGGATGAAGAGGACTGGTCATCTGTCTTCAAGCTCTAGTTACTTATATGGATAAGAAAATACGACTCGACGGGCAGAGATCTAATATAGAACCGTCAGGACGTTCCTGTGTTGAATCGTAGGTCATGAACAAAGCCAACTTTTCCCGGTCGTATATAAAATAAGCCCGCAGCTCGACTCTTCCCCGGTTATGCATATACGATGCCGCCGAGGTAGGCTAAAGCCGTCCGTCCTCTCGAGCTCGCTTAGCACACACCGGTAAGACCTAGTAGCAAGGCGGCTTACAGCTTGCGTCGAGATAAACTTCTGAGAAACCCGGACATATATGGATTAATTGTTCCAAAGTGTTTTTTGTATATGCGAGCTTACCGTATTATGTCCCTAGTGATTACACTAGAAACTTTTTATGACCTCTATAACACTCAACCGGAATAAGCTTGATTTTAACGTAATTACAACCTCGGAGCTAGAAAGGAGGACGGGTGGTCTTAGGGACGATTCTCCAACAATATATTTTGGACAGGCGACCAATAAGCGCATGAGACGGCGAAGGGGTAATACAAGATATTTCCGATAGCCTACTACAGCTCCAGAACTTTTTCTCGTCTTCCCCCAGACCGAACACATGATCAATCTTCCGATCTGACGATAGGTACTGTAGGTCTTACATTTTTCAGCCTCAAGCCCCCACCCACACCCCTCTTCCCCAGGCCAAGAACGCGAGGTAGGTGTAGGCTAACGATCTCACCACTAATATTTTCGTATTCAGGTCGTCACTAGACCAGAAGACGCCACAATCATCATCACCACCACCAATGATACCGATCCGTCGCCGACGACCGCTCGGCACCCTTTTTTTTCATAGCTTTATTAGCCCTTTCGCATTTTAGCACCTCTACGTATATGCGGGCAAGCAAAAGCAAGCTACAGCTAGCGAGCTAGGCGTTTATTTTATTTATATAATATTTAGATTACATGCCGTCTACCCTACGTAGCTCAAATGCGGGGAAAGGGACGGGGCGTGCGAAGTAGGAGAATAAAAAGGGAAAAAGAACCCGAGGCCACGGTCTCGGCTCCCGCTCTTTCGAGAGGGAGAGAGAAAAAGATAAATAATAAGTAAACTAATATAATCCGTTCATATACATTAATTGGCACTTCGTATATGTGATACGCTAGCTAGCTAGCTAGCTCACCTATCTGACCCCGGCCCGTAACGCCCACCTGATGATCATATACGGTAGATACCCGAGAGGTAGAAGTAGAAAGTGAAAGAGGAAAGAAGAGAGAAAACCTGATAGGATCTTCGAAAGCCCGGAAGCCAACCGGTTAACATACGTACTCAGCCTATCTATGTAACAAATATACCAATTTTTTTTGAGCTTACCATTCTCTTCTGTTCTTTCTCGTACGACGGTAATCTAATCCGGGGAAAGGAAAAAAAAAGCTAATAAAAACTCTTTTCGGTGTATATATATCATGTACGCATATGCAATGCTGACGGCCTAGTCTTCCCGCCCGCCTCACCGCCGCCCTACACGTCAGCTGGATCGAGCCGTTCTGTTTCGACGCCGGGTCTTTCTCCCGTGACGGGGAACTCGAGTTCTCTTTCCCTTTAGATCAGAAGACTTGAGAGCCAAGCCTATCGTATTCGAGCGGAGTCCAGTTTATCCTTACCCCCCTCCCTTCCCTTTTTTATTATTACTTCATCTGATCGTAAGTGGCTTTCACCTCGCCGAATGGGATCCGCTGCTGTAAGAAGTCAAGTGAGGCATCGCCTACCCTATGCGTAACACGAACAGAGTCCTTCGATGAGAAGGGGGTAAGAAGAGGAGGAGGAGGAACAGGGGCGTGTGAGACAGAAGGTCAATGATCGCGGGGCCAGCTCATCAGTCGAAGTTGGAGGAGAGCTTCGATCTGTCTCGAGAAACAAACCCATGGAGAAAACGGAGGAGGGGGAAGGAAGAAGTGCAGAATCCGTATCACCTTAAGCTCGGTGAACACGAGGGCTAAGCACCAGCTAACCACGGGCTGCCGCGAAGCTCCTCGGCGTAGCCCCTCTCCTCTTCCCTTTCCTTCCCCTTTGAGGAGCACCAGCAGGCAAAGAAAGAAAGGCTGAGCTAGCTTAGAATGTTCTGCCCA